CTTTCCGTCTCCAGGTTAGATGTAGCCTCAGAACTGATGTCATTACATATTGGTGATAAAATATTAGAGGTCAATGGAACTCCAGTTCGAGATGCACCTCTGGAAAATATTGAGAATTTAATCAGATATTCTGATACAGTGTTGCAAGTAAGTGGAATGAACATAAAAAAAATGGCATCCTATAAAATTTAAATTTAATAATACTTACAATTGGTGAGCTCGATTATATCTATCACCTGCATGTCGTAACCAGCCTTTGATAGCTTGTTGAATAGCATACCTTGTGCTCTTTGTGCTGGAAACAACTGCCTCTGAAATAATTTTTATTAACAAATTAATTTTTTACATATAAGGAATTACTTCTTAGACAAAAACATACCTGTAATTAAGATAGTACATTCAAGAAGAGAAAAGTTTCTCTTTCCTTTTCCTCCTACCCAACTGAACTCTTTAGCAACTTTGTCAGTAAATACCTTTTTTAACAAAGCAGTTGTGCCACATTTTGCATCACGTCCACCATACCTTTGCAAAATTTGTTGCTATAATAATGAATTGTTGAAAAAAATTATGTTTGCATAATAAGGCTAGATATATTATATTTCATCTTATTTCAACTACATAATATTTTTGTGATAAAATACCAGTTCTTCTCGAACATTTTCATCCTTCAAATAATCCTCTACAGATCTTAGCTCTTTGAAAGTTTTTACAGGCAGTTGCTTGTAAATTTTTTGAGCTAGAGAACATTTTTTTGTCTTTCTTTTTTCAGAAGTTTGGAAAGTTCTTTTTGTTCTTGAGATATTTGCTTTATTTCATGACTCATTTTGGCTAACATTTCTAAAATCATCATATTGCTTTCGTTTTGTGGAATAGTACCTTTGAAATAGAACATAAATGTTAATGAATTCTTAATAAAAATACAAACAAATTATAACATGTAATTTTACTTATTTGGTTGTTTGACCGGGAACTTGTACGTCTCGAGAATTCCTCCTCTGTAGGTTCAAGAGCAATATTTGTTTGCATTTCCTCAATTTCCCAATCACGATCATATTGCTTCTCACAAATAGAGCATATGTTTTTTTCTATTTTTGTAGTATACATAATTGTAAATGTAACGCGATAAATAATACTATAACATATAGGTTATGTGCTTTATAACATGTTTAAAAATACAATAATCAAAAAATGTCAATTTAATAAATAAACTATTTGGCAGTTACTGGCTATCTGTTAAATGTCCCATTAACGACCCAGAAAATTTGTTTGTAAATTTTTAGCGCGTAATGTAGCGTATAAATGACATTTGCAGGTCGATCTGTTGGTGTGTTTATAAACTGCGTACAACTTCATTCCAATAGTATAATTTGTCCGTTAATATTCAAATTACTCGAATTATTTTAAAACAATGCATGTTATCTCGAAGACTACATTTTTAATATTTTAATTTCACAGCTAACTATAGAACACGATCCAGAATCTCTTACTAGACGCCCTTCATATACTTGTCCAGTAATAAACAAAACTACCTTATTAGAAAACAGTAATTCTGAAAAATTGAAAGCACTTGATAGCCCAAAAAGTAAAGAACGATTGTTTAGAAGACGAGATGAGGGTTACAATACTTACTCAAGGAGTAGGCAAATTCGTAGAAGGCATGCTGTCGATAATACTACTAAAAAGAAATCTGCAGGAGGGTTAACTGAAAAAGAAAGAAGTAGTAGTATGTCAAGATTATTAGACGGGTAGACAAATTTCCAACAATAATATACTCCTTCATTTACATTTTATTCAATTTTAACCTAATTTTTTACACAGATCACCATCTACAAGTGATGGCTTGGATTTGTCAAGAACGCGGTCGTTTCGGGTGGAGCCTAAAACACAACGTGTGTTTAGAGGCAGTGATTTGGTGCAAGGTGAATTACTTGGTCGGGGTTTTTTTGGCCAAGTATTTAAAGTTACCCATAAAGTGACTCAGGAAGTTATGGTTCTCAAAGAGCTTTATCGAGTTGATGAAGAAGCCCAGAGAAACTTTCTTAAAGAGGTATTATAACAATGTTTTACTATTATAATTACATGTTCATGTATTTTTTTTTTAATATAGGTTGCTGTGTTGAGATCTCTAGATCATGTAAATGTTTTAAGATTTATGGGTGTCTTATATCGGGATAAAAGACTGCATTTAGTGACAGAGTATGTACCTGGTGGAACTTTGCAACAGTTGTTACATGATTCAACAACAGTTTTATCTTGGGAGCAGAAGGTTACTTTAGCAAAAGACATATCTAGTGGAATGTCATACCTACATGCCCAGAATATTATTCATAGAGATTTAAACAGTCACAACTGTCTTGTAAGAGAGGTGTGAATTTAGAGAATAAAATTAGCCAGTAAAAGTTATTATTACTTCACTAAATTAAATTATAATTTGCAGGATAAAACTGTTATAGTAGCTGACTTTGGATTGGCTAGAATTGTGTCTCAGGCTCATTCGAATTCAATGACAAGAACTTCTTTATCACCAAATGCAAATGGCTCAATTTCAAGAAGGCCAAGAAGAGAAAGATATACCATTGTTGGAAATCCTTACTGGATGGCACCAGAAATGATGAAAGGCAATAAATATGATGAAAAAGTGGACATTTTTTCTTTTGGAATTGTCCTTTGTGAGGTGAACTTAATTTGAGTGTACAATATGATATTAAAAAATTACTAGAAGTTATTTATTGCATCTGATAACAATATTTTATTAGATCATTGGACGAGTTCAAGCTGATCCAGATTATTTACCTCGTTCTGCAGATTTTGGATTAAATCAAACTGTTTTCAAAGATAAGTTTTGCTCTACTTGTCCAATACCATTTTATAAGATTGCATTTTTGTGCTGTGATTTAAATCCTGATAAGAGGTAATGAATATTCTCTAATCAATACCTTTTGAATAGATAATTTTTATACATATATTTTACCATTTGCAGGCCACCATTTGAGGTTCTAGAGGTGTGGTTGGAAGGTATGTCAATGCATTTAGCGGTTGGTTCTGAAATTTCAGAAAGCCTTTTATTCGATGTTGAGCATTATAAAAGTCAGTGTAGCACTCCACAAAGCGGTTCTCAAAGTCCTGAATCAGGAACCCAATCACCTGGTGGTGGAAAATTGCCCCATAGCTCCAGTAAGGAAAAATTATTACAAGCAAAAAGGGAAGCTATGAAGAGTAGAGATAGTACCATGGAGAGAGATGAAGTTTTTGAAGATAACAAAATCTCAATTGATATAAAAGATCCTGAAAACAAACAAGGTATAAATTTTTTATTTATTTTATTTTATCAATTTTCACAATTTTTGAATGTATTAAAAATTTTCACAGACAATCTTATTAAAGAAAATATAAAATCAAAGAATTCAGGAGGGAAGCAATATAATTTAGTATCTGATTCAAGTTCTTCAGAAAAAAATGGCAATCCAGTAAATTCATCCAGACAAGCAAATAAAACAGAAAATCCTAAACAACAAAATAACACTCTTTCATCGGATTTAGATAAAAAATTACATTTCAAAGTAAGTAAAGATAATTCTAAACCTAGTACATTTTTAGATAACTCTAGTTTTCCAAAAGTTTCCTTAAAAAAACACATTTTTGATTCTGATTCAAATAAGGATAGTAAAGTCAAGCTTAACAGAAGTAAACCAGTAAACTTGTTACATGACTTTAATAAAGCAAAAGATCATCATAAAACACTAGAAAAATCTGAAATATTAGATGATAATAGTATTAAACTTACATTCCCTAAACACCCTAGTTATAAAACTGGTTCTACATCAAAAGGAAAGTATGTTAATTTGGCAAATATTATGCAAGACAATAATATTAGGGAAAATGATTCTTGTTCGAGTTTTTCAAATTTGGGCAAAAATTTGAATTCTAATAGAAATTCAAGAGTATTAGAAAGTACAGCCTTATAGTTGTTTTAAATATCGGATAATAATTTTATTTTATTTTTTTCAAATGTAAATTCAGGCTGCAATAACGATTTCAGGGTACAAGTTTCAAGGTTAAGAAATTAAACACATTTAGCAATGCATTTGATAAACATTTATTTTTATCTAAATAAACTTAACATTTTTGGCATTCATGTTAAGTTATATTCAAATTATAACTTATATTCATAAATATCTATAAGCGTTAGGTTTTATTACTTCACTAATTTGTGACCATAATCTTTATAGTAAAAACGCTGATAATTGTTATTGCTGAAAAATACGCTGGTTCGATAAATACGCTCTAAAATTAATAATTATGAGGAATAAATTTTCACTGTTAAATTATTTACATAAGCTACCTTTAATTATATTTTTGAAGTACGCAATAGATTTCAAATCCGTTAAGTTGTGGCGGGACAATTCCAAAATAATGTGATTGAATAATTTTATTTGTTGTTAAATGTTGTGACTACCGATGGGGACAATAAATAATCTCTATTCGCATTATAAACAAATAATTAGACTTCATAGTATATAAACAACAATACTTTTATTGCTTTATTATTATGTTCTTTTTAAATAGAATTTAGGGGAGTAGTTTTAGGTATTACTTTAAAATTTAATAATCTGTGAAATTTAATATTTTCTATGAAATATGAATGTGATAAAATTGCTTGTGCTAAGTAAAAAAAAATATTTTTCTTAAAAATTGAATACTTAAAAAAGTACAATAATCTGATAAATCTTACTGTAAAATGTGACTTCATTCACATTTGAATAGAAAATTTGAGTGCATGCTTGTAAAACGCATTTAATTTCAAAATATCTAAACTAAATTTATTACAAACTTAAATTACAATTCAAGATAAAACTTCATTAATTCCCAATAAATCATAATCATAAAAAATTATATATTCAATCAAATTCGGTGATACTTTTCATTATACGAATCATATATGTGTAGACTGCTATATTTTTACTTTATAATGATTGTTGAATGATATGAACTGTGATATCGAATAGGCGATAATTATTATATAATATTGAAAAATATTATCGCTAAAAACTTAGTCGTAATGATTATACATTAAGTTTTACTATATTCAAAAATAGGCTTATAACCAGCATAATGTAAAGACTAAATCCATAATTATTTTATGAAGAGAAATTAAAAAATTGTGCAATTTTATCAATCTTAATAATAAGTAAATTAATATTCAAGTTACATTCCTTGTTACCTGCATTTGAACAGGGTTTTCTATGCAGAAAGATTTATGAAATTCTTTCCCAGTTCAGTGATTTATTTGTAAAAAATCTTTAAGACAATTATAAATTGTGCTTAGTGGATATAGATAGCTAATATTATTTTACTTAGATTGAGCATGTGCCTTATTTTAAATGCATTTATTTATATTGTGAAGTAAGAACTGGGTTTAGTCTTAATATATACTTAAAATAGCTTATTAATTAGCTATATATATCTACGTATTGATACATTAGCTAAAAGAATTTGCAATTAAAAAATATATGGTTAAGAAAGCAAACATTCCACTTATAAAAAAAATGATTCCAATGAAATTGAAGCAGTATTGATATATGATAAGCGTGATAGTATGAAGAAAATGTAATATTTTATATTTTCTTCTTTTAAAATGAAAATAATGCAGTATTTAAAATTCAAAAACTTTTATTAATTTTTTATCTGCGATATTTGTCAAAATTCTAAATATAAAATACAACTTTTATTACTACATATGGATTAAATGAGGTTTCAAATTGAATTATAAAATTTAATTTTATATTAATAAATATATTTGCCATAATTTATAACAAATAAGTTGGAGATATCTCAGTTGAAAATATTTCATTGAGGTTAAATACATAAAATGTATTATTAGTAATAATCCAATAACGTTATTTTGCTTTTGCTAAGAATTTAATTGACATTAATTTGATAATGATAATGAAATATAATATTATAAATACACGTGTATGTTTCATTTATTACCCTGTCTGAATTATGAAACATTACTTGATTATTTTTATATTTCATTACTTATTTTCATTTCATCAATGAGTTTAATTATTATTTGAAAATACCCTGTTAAATCATCACAATAAATTAATAAAACTTTATTTAAATTGTTTAAAACCAAATTTGAAGCTGGTAAATTGATGGTCTATAATTCTAACATTATAAAATATAGTTCCTAAATAATTATTTCCTTACTTGTATCATCACAATTTAGTATTTTTTGTTTGAGTTTTTTTAATGGATAATTCTGTCGTTACATATCCTACTATTCCTATCCAAATAACCAAAAGTAAAATATATAATTTAATATCAGTTCTCAAAAACGTGCTATAACCATATGTGACAATAGACCCAACAGCTTCCCAAAGCCGAAAATTACTATAGGCTGCCTCTTCCCTTCCTGGGAAAAGTATTCCGCAAAATGCTGAAAATTAAGATTATTTCAATAACTTATCTTAATTTTATCTTAGCCTTATCATTTAATATTGATTTACCATTGATTTGGACGAGCCAAACACCATCAACAAGGCCCCAGGCGCCAGAAATAATAAAATAGATGATTTTATATTCAGCATTTGGTTTCCAAGTCAATAAGCAAATTGCTATCATTGTATGCAGAATTGCTGCTGAGCATATTATTGGCATTCGTCCAGTTATCTAAAAAAATCCCGTATAAAAATTAACTGTGTTAAAAACTTTCTAGTGAATTTTTGTAAAACAAAGTGGAAAGCTGGAATATAGTAATATATATATAAAAAGTGATATCAGGAGAACTGCAGGAGTACCTCATAGGTTGGAGGTATAGTTACAATCTAGCTGGGAGTAGATGTGGGTTTTAGATAATGTGCACAAAATACTGGCTGGACAATGATGAGAGAAAATTTGACCATTGTGACGAGAGACAGGACTCCGTAGGTCATTGGAGAGTAAGGTGTTAAATATTAGAAAAAACAAGTGTATCTGCAGAAGTTATTTCGAGCAGTTGGAACACAAAGAAGAATATAAGTTATTTACTATTTGTTAGCAAGTCAAGAAAAAAGCAAAACAGTAGGAGTCAGTCGAAGAACCAGCGGAAGAAGAATTTAGCGTTTGGGGGTTATTTTACATTGCGTATGTCCGTTTAATTATTTTTACACTGCTTTTTGCATTAGTTTAAATTTGGTTTGGATGTTGCATAATTTAAAAATTAGTACAAAATAATGTAGTAAATAATTGGTTGTATTGTAGTTAGTGTATGCATACGCTGCTTTCGGCTGCCATGCCAAGTAATTTGTTTTCAAACGTAAATGATATAATGTAATTGTGTGATAGACACGTTAACAACACTCACACGTATTTTTCATATTTTTCCATAGTTATTTAATTATACCATTACATCTTAATTTACCTTAACTAACCATCCTAAGACAATAGCAGAAATTGCATTGCATGCACCATAGCAAATCATAACGTAGCCTATATTGCTGATGCCCCATGCGCAAGACACATACGCCTAAAAATAGTAAAATAATACTTATTAATGTATTTTATTTTTATACTAATTCATTTATTTAATATACTAACGGCTGTAAAATCGGCCCCGATAAACGTTTGCGACATTCCCAAAAGCATGGTGATAGGAACCATCAAAATTTGCCATCGTACTTTTAGGAGTTTTATTGTGATCGCTAATAATTGAAATCCTTGTAATCCTGTTCCACTTCCTTTGCGGTTTGATTCATATCTGGAAAAATCTATAAATCTATAAATATTATAATAGATACTTTTTGAGAAAAATTTGAAAAAATGGTTAACTATTGTAGTTGAATCGCCATAGAAAAATATGAAAATATTTGTAATTTTTTAAGAAGAATAAATACAAGATCTAGCAAAATGTTATTCTATTAAATTCTATTAAATGTGATATTAATAATTATTTTTATTATTTATTAACTTGCCGATCTGATGAATCCACAAAAAGTGCGACGATCAGGCAAGCTGTAACCATGCAGGCAAGATAAATTCCTGCTATTGTATAAATTTTTTCTGGTGATGGTGGTTCCAAGTTTGTATTTCCCGTAGAAATTGCTTGTCCTGGTAAAAAATTTGCTCCACACAATTCTAATGCATCAGGATCTATAGTTATGTTCTGAGAATCTGTTCCGGAAGATAATACTGGAAACAGAAAATTATTAAAATTATTGGTAGTGCACAATCCTTCAGGCTTATGCATGAATTTTTAAAGTAACATCATTAATATTAATAAGTAAATTGTATATTATTCAAATGTGGCGTGTCTAACAAATTATTATTAGGTCATAATATTTTTTAATTTAATCTTTACTCAATATAAAAAATATTATTTTATTGCTTGCTTTTTGTGTGCCTTAATGTTATATTATAAGAATATCTAACCGAAGTGTATTTTCTTATTTCAGTATTATTATTATGAAGAGATCACTCACCGATAGATGAAATCAAGTTTCCCCAGATTTGCGAGAATTGAAAAATCATGAAAAATAGGCCAAAGAACCTGACCACCAATGCTTCTGAATTTTTCCCGTCGGTGATTTTTGCATAAGCAGCTGCCAAAACAGTCAGGTAAGTGCATTTTGCACACCATAATGGGCCACCTCCAAAACCCACACAAAGGGCAGCCGGTATCATAGTTCCAAAACTAGGGCCAAATTGGGCAGCTATGTAGGGCATGTAGGTGATGAAAGATACTGCCATTGTCCATTTGCAACCGAGCCATCTGAATAATAATGAATTTTTATTAACATTTAAGGGTTGTCAACATAAATCAAATTTTTGATTGTAGTCAGTTTTTATCAAGACTTCAATTTTGGTCAGATTTTTGTGTATATCTACTTTTCGGTCTCAATTATTTTGTTGTTTTAATTACTTACCCGATCATAAGAACTGGTAAAAATAAATTAGACAATACTAAGGAACCATAAATTGTTGCCAAAGAAGCTGTACCCAAGCCTGCACTTGCGTTTATGGAACTTTGAAGATTTGCTGCACCCTAAATAATAAATA